TCTCCTCCGTGCAAGGATCTTGGACCTGAAGATAAAAGGTCATCTAGGGTTCAGAAAGAAATCACACTATTGCACGGGGAGAAGAGAGGAAAGGGGAAAGAGAAGAGAGGAGAGGCGGAGCCATAGAGAGAGCTCACCATCGAGCGCGTCCTCTTCTCCGTGCAAGGATCTTGGACCTGAAGAAAAAACGCCATCTAGGATTTAGAAATCGCGCTGAAGCACGGGAGAAGAGAGAAGGAGAGGAGAGGCGGAGCGTTACAGAGAGCTCACCGGTGAGTGGGGAGGGTTTGTGGTCGCGCGCTGCCGCCGTGCGAAGGAGGAATACCACGCGGGGAGAGACGAAGGCGTCAGTGGAGACGAGGGTCGCGTAATGAGATAAGGGACCGGGAAGGGTGGTATCAGACTTGAACAGAGCGTTATCCGATTGCGCGTTATGTTTTAACGGGCCGGGCCGAACCAAACGACTGTATCGTCAATCAATCCCGGACGTACTCAGATGCCGTTACATTTTGCCGAACCAAACAACTTGCTAGTTCTTAGTCTTCTGCCAACTCTATAATACCCAATCATGTTAAAGTTGTTCACCTATCATGTTATATTATCCCGGTAGGCGCGCTGCCGCTGCGCCCGCTCTGTAAACGTGTGAACAGTGAAAAACGTAAAAGTGAACAGTAAGGGCCTGATTGGTTGATTTAGCACGCCAAAAATTGGGCAAAAAAATTGCTATAGATTTAACAAGCCAAATGTATAGATAAATTTTGGTAGCAAACCAAATATTAGCCAAAATCATAACTTGCTAAATTTTTAGCATGACAAATTTTGAAAGCGAACCCATACCTGAAAAATAGGTGATCAGTGCGGAAAGCGGTGAACAGTACTAAGATATAAGCATATAATTAAAATTCATATGAACAGTGCAAAACACTGTTTGATACGGTAGTGAACTTAGCATGTTATATATGATAACATAACACATTACTCAATCAAGCACACGTTATGTTAACTCGGTTAAAACTAAGTTACATATCTGAGAGGGGTTCTAAAATGTGCTATACGAAAAGTCACATGCATTTAAAAAATGGCAATTTATTCTAATCAAGTTATGTCATGTCTAAAGTTGACAAATAAAAAAAATCACATCTCACGCATGTAACAATCAGATATAGAATTTTATATCTAAACTTTCCTATTTTACATCTACAATTTTATATCTATTAGCATCTCTAGAAATAATATATGATTCTAACCGCTTGATCTAACTAAATGACGGTTCAGAATTTTAGAAGTATCATAATAAAGTTTTTTGTCGGAGACCATAATAAAGTTTTCTTCATGTTTCATAGACCATAGTTGATTTTGGTACGTTGCAGACTTGCACTAAGGTCCGTTCGTTTCGCTGAAAAAACAAACCGTAACACTGTTCCGGCTGATTTGTTATGAGAGAAAAACACTGTTTCGGTTGAAAAAACAAGCTAAAAAATACAGATTATAAGATAGGCGAAAAAAGCCTTTAGAGCTTATTTGGCTACACGTAAATCCACCTTAATTCCTCCCGAACCACGTATAATTGAAGTGGATTTGTGTGCAGTCAAACGAAACCTTAACCAGGCCTGGCCGAGGGCGTCTGGGCTCGGTCCGCCACGCGCGGCAAGAGGGGGCAACAGCACGTGCCCGAGCCCGACCGCGGTCCACGGCTCGGTTACTCCGCGCACGCCCGATCTCGTCGCGAGCGCACGCACGCCAGTTCCGGTTCCTTCCAGATTTCAAAGAGAGAGAGAAGAAGTGAAACGGGCAAATCCACCCACGCGAATATACACAGACGGCGGGCCCCGAACTGTCGCGTGGGGGCGGGGCACGGTACGGTCGGGACCATCGAGTGCTCTCTCGGCTCTCGTGGGGGGTGTGGGGTCGTGGAACTTTTGCGCCAAGCCCCTCCGTACTACGCCTAATTCGTTACGCGCGGTGCACGTCTTTTGGGGCCGTTTCACACCGTTTGCTTCGTTTTGCTAGGCTGCTACGGCATATGGCAGTTGGCCGGACGCGTCCCCCCTTCTTCCTCTTGTCGGTGGATTTTTGCGTGTTTCTGGCGTTCAATTAGGCGTTGTGATGTTACATAGCATGGTCAGAAGTGGTTGCAACTGGTATGTGCTCAATAAAGCTGGCAACCATGTACCGAGACAAACGCATTATACACACGTCACGACCAGGAAAGACTATAGTCGCTTTCACCATTAAAACTTTTCTACATGACATGCTCCAATTTAGAACGTCAACACCAAATCCATCCAAACGAATTAACTTGGCAAACAACGCTCGGATTTCTCTCGCCCCCCCCTTCTGTGCTGCATGCATAAAAAGAATGAAACATTTTTTTGGGGTTTACAGGTCTCGGGCACTTGAATTTTCAGTGCCAGGCACTAAAAGCACTTGATTTTTTTTCTTGAACTTGAGCGTGGAATATTACTAGCTACGCATAGTTCATCTACATCTAATGTGTTTTCGACTTCTATAAAATACCCTCCATCAAAATGAAAATGCAAATCTCACTTTTTGATGCTAATCAACCTCAAACATAAGTAGGTTTCTCAAGAATAATATCAACATTTATATCTCTTTATATCGATACCTGTATCTCTACCTATACCTTATGTTAAAAAGCCAAAATTTCATTTCATTTTTTCCATCACCTCTACCTAATTACCCGAATAGTGGAGAGTATCTTCCATCCCGTTTTTTTTCTCGATGACAGATACATGTTCTGATTCCATATATGTGTTGGATCACACTCTCCATATTTCGTATGTGAGCCAGACTCATGATTTGTTGCTCTATAGGACAAGTCAACTCGTGTCCAACAATGATACCGAGTCGTATTGGATTCTATTGCAACACACGTATTGGATTCTGTTGCGACGCACGGAAACATTTGCTATTTATAAAATATATTCTATAAAATCAAGAATATTTATTATGTATAATAAATATTAATATGTTTGTTGTTTTACTTAAATATAGAATCGATCGTTTTCTTAAAAAATTCACGTTCTTTTTTTGTGAGACTCAGTTATAGATGCAGACGTCAAAGTACACGAGCGCACTTTAATCTCGTATCATCTTGCTAAATACTCAAAACACTCAGAATTTCTCAAGAAGGGTTGGGTTAGCTCTTAAGAAGAATAGAAAGTAATGTTTAGTATGGTTCTAATTTTGCATTTTTTGCTATAAGTCCATAAAGAAGCCGAATTCAGTGAAAAAATAATAACTTTATCAGCTTCTAATCTATTTTAAAAAGATAAAAATAACATCTCGCTACGAACGGAATCGCTCGGAGCTCTGCAAACAGCCCTTTCTATAACACGGAAGAAGGGAAGAAGTGCCGAGGAGTTTGGTCGCCATAGCCCACGCCCACCCAGAGGAAAGCTACAAGAAACGACAATGCAGATAGAGCTGGCACGGAACCCTAGGTAGACGGCCGGTCCTTCCACCGAAATCCTACCAAGCCCGAGGGCCTCAGCCGAAAAGCGCCGACCAGGGAGAGGGGCTTTTGCGCTCCCAAAGCCAAAACCTCCCACACTCTGGACTCCACTTCGTCCCCGCCGAGCCCTCCACGCCGCTCTAGTACTCTCTGCTCCCTCCCTGTCTCTCAGTCCTCTCCACACCACTGCCTTTCTCTTGTTTTTGCTCGCAAGAAAAAGGCGAAAAATCCTACGCAAATCCGCCGTCCTCTCCACTGCCGAAGCTTCTGGGTCCTCCTCGCCGCCGCTACGCGTGAGATCGGCTCGCCGGCGTCGGTAAGCAGCCCAAAGATCCCTGCTTTTTTTCCCCCAGTCTTCTTGTCCCCCGTGGTTGGTTTCATTGTACTGTTTTCTTCGAGCCCGTGGGGGGAAAATGGTAATGCCGGTGGCCGCGACCGCGGTTCCTTGGTCCGTCCCTGTTTTCCGGGTAGCTGCGGGATTGGCGCTTGCTCGGCCGGCATAGCACGGCGCGGTTCAAGCGGTTAGGCCTTTAGCCTTTAGCCCGCAGGTGGTTTCTCTGTGCTCTTGAGTTGTTTAGGGTGCTAATGGTGTGGGATCTGGGATTTTTGCTTCCTATTAGGTCATCGTTGAGATGAGGGCGGTAGTGGGGGGAAAAGCCGGAAAAGAGAAGGCTAGTGAGTTGGAAAGGTAGTAAAGCTGTGTAATTATTGGTGCCCATCTGTACCTCTTGGCTTCTTGCAATGTTGGGGAAGGTGCTGGATCTTTTGCTCGTTTGTGTTTTTCGATTTGTTATTAGTTTTAACTTTCATGTGCTGTGAGTTCTGTCTACTCCTCTTCTTCCCCCCAAATTAAGAAAAATGTTTACTTCTTTAGAAATCCTTTGGTTTCTCACTTTAGTAGTTGTCGAGGCTAGTTTACAGTCTAGTTTATTGAGATTGTTTCAATGGACTAAACTCTTTGTTCTTGGTTTGGTGCGCATCTACTAAAGATGGTGACTTTTCAGGTTTTTTCTTTCTTTTTTGGTAGTGCTTCGCTTAGTCACTATCCGGCTGTTGCAATGTTTACTGAATATCTGAAGTCAGATGACTGCAGTTCATTGGTTCATTGGCGGGACTTAAATTGAGTGAAATGCAGTTCCTTTACACTACCTGTTTGGTTCATTCCAGTTACATACTTGCTGCAGGTCTTTTTCCCTGGCTGGTGATGTAGAGTTCATTCTCTTAAGTCGAATGGTTTCCTCCCACAAAGCACGATGAGGAAATGTTCAAAATGCTCGTAGCTGTGTTGCCTGACAAGTTTATTGCAGAGGTAGTAGTTCCATCTCAATTTCATATTATTGTTCATTAATGCTCTTCCCTTGTAATAGCTATCTAAAGCCAGTTGTTTACTTTTGTTCTGTTTTAGCTGGTCTAGGACAAGTGGACAGCTGGGATTTCTTGGCACTTTGTCAAGTCAGTGAGTAGAAGTTTAGGACTTTGTCAAGTCAGTGAGTAAAAGTTTGGTGGAAGATCATCTCCGTTCAAGATGATGCAGAGGCCACCCCTCCGTCCGGAGGAGTACTCCTTGAAGGAGACCTCACCTCACCTTGGTGGTGCAGCTGCTGGTGACAAGCTCACCACCACCTATGACCTGGTTGAGCAGATGCAGTACCTTTATGTAAGAGTGGTAAAAGCAAAGGAACTTCCAAACAAGGACATCACTGGGAGCTGTGACCCGTATGTTGAGGTGAAGCTAGGAAACTATAAGGGCCAAACTCGGCATTTCGAGAAGAAGAACAACCCAGAGTGGAATCAGGTCTTTGCATTCTCAAAGGAGCGCATTCAGTCATCAGTTGTGGAGATTGTGGTCAAGGACAAGGATCTTGTCAAGGATGACTTCATTGGGCGGGTTATATTTGATCTGAATGAGGTCCCAAAGAGAGTGCCACCTGATAGCCCATTGGCTCCACAATGGTATCGGTTGGAAGACCGAAATGGGCACAAGGGAAGGAGAGTTGATGTTGGCTGTTTGGATGGGTACTCAAGCTGATGAAGCATTCCCTGAAGCATGGCATTCTGATGCAGCCTCCGTCCCTAGCGATGGCCTTGCAAGCATTAGATCAAAAGTGTATCTTACTCCAAAGCTTTGGTATCTCCGTGTCAATGTCATCGAAGCTCAGGATCTTATACCAAATGACAAGACCAGGTTCCCAGAGGTTTATGTCAAAGCAATGCTAGGCAACCAAGTACTTAGAACCAGGGTATTTGCGAGGCGGACATTGAATCCAATGTGGAATGAAGATTTGATGTTTGTTGCAGCTGAGCCATTTGAGGAGCACCTAATTTTGAGCGTAGAGGACAGGGTGGCCCCAGGAAAGGATGAAGTAATTGGAAGGACAATCATTTCACTGCAGCATGTACCCCGGAGACTGGATCACAGGTTGCTAACCAGCCAGTGGTATAACCTTGAGAAGCATGTGATTATTGATGGTGAGCATAAGAAAGAGACCAAGTTTTCAAGCCGAATTCACTTGAGAATTTGTCTTGAAGGTGGATATCATGTCTTGGATGAGTCAACACATTACAGTAGTGATTTAAGGCCAACTGCAAAACCTCTGTGGAAGCCTAGCATTGGCATTCTTGAGCTGGGTATTTTGACAGCACAGGGCCTGTTACCAATGAAGACCAAGGATGGACGTGGCACAACTGATGCCTATTGTGTTGCAAAGTATGGACAGAAATGGGTGCGTACTAGGACTATAATCGACAGTTTCACTCCCAAATGGAATGAACAGTACACCTGGGAGGTGTATGACCCATGCACTGTGATCACAATTGGTGTATTTGACAATTGCCACCTGAATGGCGGGGAAAAGGCCAATGGTGCCAGGGATACCAGAATTGGGAAGGTCCGCATCCGCCTCTCGACACTTGAAACTGATCGGTGTATACCCACTCATACCCTCTTATTGTTCTGACACCTGGTGGCGTTAAGAAGATGGGTGAGGTGCAGCTTGCTGTCCGTTTCACGTGCTCATCACTGCTCAACATGATGCATCTGTACTCACAGCCCTTGCTGCCCAAGATGCACTATGTGCACCCGTTGTCCGTGATACAGGTGGACAACCTGAGGCGTCAAGCCACAAACATTGTCTCGACAAGGCTGGGCCGTGCAGAGCCACCACTGCGGAAGGAAATCGTAGAGTACATGCTTGACGTGGACTCGCACATGTGGAGCATGAGAAAGAGCAAGGCAAATTTCTTCCGCATCATGGGTGTCCTGAGCCCCCTGATTGCAGTGGCGAAGTGGTTCGATCAGATCTGTCTCTGGAGGAACCCGTTGACCACCATACTGATCCATGTCCTCTTCGTGATACTGGTTCTATACCCAGAGCTGATACTGCCCACAATCTTCCTCTACCTGTTCCTGATCGGGGTGTGGTACTACAGGTGGCGGCCAAGGCAGCCGCCGCACATGGACACCCGCCTCTCCCATGCAGAGACTGCCCACCCCGACGAGCTCGACGAGGAGTTCGACACCTTCCCCACCTCCCGCCCGCCGGACATCGTGCGGATGCGCTACGACAGGCTGCGCAGCGTTGCTGGGAGGATCCAGACCGTGGTTGGCGACCTCGCGACGCAGGGCGAGCGGCTGCAGTCGCTGCTGAGCTGGAGGGATCCAAGGGCCACCGCGCTGTTCGTGGTCTTCTGCTTCATCGCCGCCATCGTCCTGTACGTCACCCCGTTCCGCGTCGTGGTCTTCCTCGCAGGCCTGTACGTGCTGAGGCACCCCAGATTCCGCCACAGGATGCCATCCGTCCCGCTCAACTTCTTCAGGCGTCTGCCGGCGAGGACCGACAGCATGCTGTAGGCGCGGCAGGTGCTGGCTCCGTGGTTTCACCTGTCGATTGCAGCTCACAGATGGTTACTCTCTATATCTTAAGTGTATCCGAAAACAATGAACTGCTAGCTATCTTCGGTACTTCTGTAGCTTCTCTCTGTTGCATGGTTGGTTATGTATTATTCAGATGGTTGTGAACCTTTCCTGTAACAACCGAACGCATGATGCGTGACTGTGACTACGTATGGATGCATGTGTGATGCTTGAAAACTCTGGGCTGGGCGTTAGTTATTGCTTTACCTACTTGTTCAGCAACAGTGCTGTCAGCTAACGTGGTTCTCTACTGCTGCATGTGCATCGGGTCGTTTGGTTTCCAGCTCAATTTACCAATTTGCTACGTGATTGAGCGCGTGTTCAGTTGCAAAAAAAAGTTCCAAAAAAGTGCTACAGAATTCGTCATATCGAATCTTACGATACGTGCATGTAGCAGTAAATGTAGATGAAAAAAAAACTAATTGCACAGTTTGGTTGGAAATCGCGAGACGAACGTTTTGAGCCTAATTAGTCCATGATTGAATATTATTTGTCAAATAAAAATAAAAATGCTACAGTAGTCAAATTCTAACTTTTCCCCAACTAAACACAGCCTGATTTCAGTATTACTTAGGAAATAGTACTGATCTGAATTCCAGACGAATTATGAATAGGAGACCCTGAGAGTTGTCTGCTACGCAGACTGGAACTAATTGGGTGCCAATCTAAGCAGGGGCTGGTTGTTTTACTTCTGAACTTAATAGTGATGTCATTTTTTTTTTGCTGGCTTAGTTATGTCACAGTTGAATTTCCTTCCACGGTGCAGCGGCAAAACTTCCGAACGGTGCTGCTGCAGTTTTTCTTCAGAATGCTCATGAAGGCTCTGCTGGTCTGCACGTGGCAGAGCATGGCCCAACTGGTTGTCTTGGAAAAAAAAAGGTCAGGTCCAACTTTTTTTTGAAAGGGGGTCCAACCTTTTTTTTTTGACATGGTGTCAGGTCCAACTGAGCGCTCTCCGTGAGATGTCTTGTATGGGCTGTCCGTACTTTGGTTTACATGTAATCGTTGCATTTGCACTCACGAGTCAGTGAGTCACAGGTGCCATTTTGACTGTGACCTCTTTGACATAGTTTTCATCGTTATTAGTACATTTAAAGCCCACTCTCCGTGTGATCCCAAATCCGATACTACCTCGTCTAAAAAAGAATACGGTTCTGGGTGCATTTTTTATTAAAATGTCTAAAATTTAACACACCAAATAAATAATATTACAAGTTTTGTGACAAATCTAATAATACCTATTTAGTATGATAAATATTAATATTTTTTTTATAAAATCTGATTAAACTTGACATATTTTAACATAGTATGTATGGGTGTGTTTGGTTTCCTGTCATATTTCTAGCCTGGGCAGCCTTAGTCTGTTTGGTTGCCTGCGTTATCTAAGCCTGGCTAGCAAATGATGTGTTTGGTGAATTTTTTTAACACTTTTTTAAACTATTTTTAAAACGGACCATGTTTTTTTTCTTCAAAACTAACACTTTTAGACGCGCTAACTGACATGGCGTGGCCAAACCACTCTACCGCGCCATGCATGGCGATGCGGCCAAGCTGCCATCGTGGCAGTGACCGGTGACGGGGTCCAGCTCTCCCACGTCACAGATCACGGCGCGGCGGGCCTGCCGCGCCACAGATCACGGCGCGGCACCGAGGCGCCATTGGGCACGGCGCGGCAAGCCCCAGTAAAGGCCCGCGACGTGGCTCTCTCTTCCCTTTCTCTATCTCTCTCACTCGGCCCCAGTAAAGGCACGCCCACCGCCCGTGGCCCGCCCGCCACCGCCCTCGCCGCCGCGCCACGCACGGCCGTTGCCCCACGCACGCCGCCGCGCCACTGTCATGCCCGTGACTGCCACCGCCCGTCGTGCCACGCACGACCGCCGCGCCCGTCGTCGCCCTCACTGTCGCGCCACCTCCTCGCCACGCCCGCTCGCCGCCCGCCACCGCCCTCACTGCCGTGCTGCCACCCTCACTACCGCGCCGCCGCTGTACACCGCTCCCCACTGTCGCGCGCCCCTCCATCTATCTCACGTCCACCCGCCGCCGCCTACGCCGCCACCGAGGCCAGCGCCCGTGCCTCCCCCCCGCGGCACCCACCTCATGTCCCGGTCTAGCGCGCCGCCCCCGCGAGAACGAGCGCACGCTGTTGCCTCGAGGATGAGCACCGCCGCCACGAGGACGAGAGCACACTGCTCCCGGTAGGACGAGCGCCACGAGGTACTCCCCTTGTGTATTTGTTGATTGAATCAAAATTGTTGTTACTTAGGGTTAAGATGCAAAATTAGTTTGAATGATTAGTTAGTATAGTGAGTCTAGTAAGTTAGTACAATAAGTAAAGTTAGTATAGTTAGTAAAATATAGTTAGTCTAGTTAGTAAAATTAGTTAGTTTAGTTAGTATAGGCAATATAGTAAGTTAGTATAGTTAGTAAAGTTAGTTAGTTTAATTAGTACAGTTAGTGAGTCTAGTTAGTTATTGTATTTAGTATAATTAGTTGTTGTAGTTAGTCTTGTATATGTGTTAATATTAGATTAGTTAGTATAGTTATAGTTAGAATATGTATTAATATTACTATGGGCAGTACTTACGATGATTTCGATGATTTGATGAAGTTTCTTGAAATGCTTTTGTAGATGGATTGTTGTGTTAGAGTTTTTTTATGGAGGAAGTGTTAGGAGAGAAGATGGTATGTTTGAGGATATGGAAGAAGAATTGGAATGGTTTGATGAACCTCCTAGTTTCAACGACTTTTGTGTTCGTTTGAATGCAAAGTTTGGCGGTGATTTCACACTGAAGGGGAGGTTTGATACTGGGAAGACTAGGGCACACTATGTTCTGATGCCCTTGCACGACCCTGCTCACTGGTCCTGCTACAATATGGTGCTCCAAGGTTCCAATGTGCCCATGGCTGAGGTGGTGGTGGAGAATGGGTACATGATGCAGGGTGTCCTGGACGAGCCGTCCATTGACGGTGTTGGAAGCAATGAGCAAGAATTGGGGGGGTCAAAGGGGAAGCAACTCAGGGTAACATGGATTTGGATGGTCAGTTGACGCAGGAGCAGTTTCATTCAAGTCAACTAGGCTGTATAAGCAATGACTTCGATGTGAACGAGTTCGAACTGGAAGAGGAGGAGCAAGAGGAGGACAGGATCGGTGATGTAGTTAGCAGTGATTCGGACGATTCAGATGATGACCTAGGAGGTAGACATGCTATGCCCACACCGGTTGATGCCATGCCAGTACCTATTCATGGTGTGCCATTACCAGTACCAATTGAGGTTTTGCATGCTATCCAGACTCATGGTAGACTAGTCACAGATTTGCCAGCAGATGATACCTCTATGATTCATGGGGCAGAATTAGCGAAGCACAGCAGTATGTTCCACCACCACCTTACACAGTGACTGAGCTTGAGCAACTAAGGTTGATGAACGTACCTTTTAGGGGCATTTCGAACTATAGGGATGCCAGCATGACGGATATGATAGTTTGTGACATGGGTCTCTAGATGTGTAGGAAATCATTGTATGACCATGAGAAAGAAATCCTTAGTAAGAGGATGATATTCAATACAATGTTAGAGATGAAGCTCTTCCTTTAGGACTATGCTGTGTATCACCATAGGCCGTACAACATCACTCATTCAGACCAGGAGTTGAGGTACCACATGATATGCAAAAACAATTGTATATGGAGGTTAAATGCACAAAAGAGACAGAGTGATGGCAAGTGGAGGATAAGTAAAGTGGTCGAACCCCACACTTGCCTAACAAATAGGGGGAAGGAAAATCATCAGTAGCTCACTGCACGTTACCTTGCCCGTCGTATATTGGGGCTCGTTGATGACAATAACGACATTTTGGTGTCTTTGTTACAACAGTCCATATCTGGATTCATTAAGTATGATGTGAAGTACGAAAAGGCTTGGCGTGCTAAGCAAATTGCCCAGGCGATTCGTTGGGGTAGTTGAGAGGAAGCGTACAACAGGGTGCCCCGCATCTTATGTGCAATGCATTACCACAACCCTAGCTTGAAATGGTTTGTGGACACTAGAGAGATGTATTTTCGGGACCCGTTGAGGCATGTCCTCTATCGTGTGTTCTAGTCATTCGCGCAAACGGAACATGCATTCCAGTTTTGTTGGCCAGTCGTACTTATTGATGGCACTTTCCTGACAGGAAAGTATAGGGGCACCTTGATGATGGCTACTATTGTTGATCCTGAGGACCAGATAGTACCCATAGCTTTTGCTTTGGCAGAGGGAGAGAACAATGAATCATGGTCATGGTTCATGCAGCTTCTACATGTACAAGTGCTTGGCCCATCTCGTACTATATGTTTGATCTCGAACCATCACCCAGGGCTTCTTAATGCTGCAACTGAGCATATAGATGGGTTCCTGCCTCTAGTGCACAGATGGTGCATGAGACACTTTGCCGCTAATTTCTGGCGACGTCAGAGGAAGAAGGAGGTATGTGACAAGGTAAAGGCTCTATGTTGTGTACGTATAGAGCACCAGTTCAAGAAGACACAGAGAGAACTAGACAAGATGCTAAATAAAGCGGGAAAGGCCTGGTTAGAGGCACAGATGGAACAGAAGGCTAAGTGGGCGTTAGCATATGATGAGGGGGTTTCAGATATGGCATCATGACCACTAACTCCTCGGAGTCTTTCAACCATGTATTCACCGGAGTTCGATCGTTGCCTGTGTTTGGATTTGTTGAGTTCTCCTTTTATAAGTGCAACACATATTTTGTCAAGAGGTGGGGACTTGCGCAGAGGAATATAGCTGATGAAAGGTCCTTGTGTGGTTTTGGTAATTGAGTGACAACCTAGGTGGACTAATTGTGTTTATGTGAGATACACAGGTGATTAGTCCATAGGTACATGTGTGTGAGCAACATATGCCATGAAGGTGAAAATGGCGCGGAGATGTTGCAA